CGATCACCAGTGTGCAGGTTTATGAGCTTTCAATCATATCAACTCAACAATTACATAATTTAAATTATGAACTTACCTGACACTTACCTGTGCGTCCGCAGCACCAATCATGCATGTATGCAATTACTAATGCATAAATAATTAGGCATATATTTTGCATGGTATTTCATATCGCATTTCATCTCACATTTCACTTAAATTGATTTCCTGGGACAAATCTAATTTATATAGGTATATACGGAAAACAAAACTGCCCACTCAACTGGAGTTCACCCTACAACTCCCTAGCAGAACACATCAAGGCGTCATGACGATCGGTGCCTAGAACAAACATCAAATCAAACCTCAGAAATCGTATTGATAGAATATATAACTTATATAAAACATGTCACTACGTAGTTCGATTCGGAAGATCTGCAACTCATATTTCCAATCCATAACTTCCAGAGGTCCACAATATATCTCTAGAACAACATCCTAAAATTTCATTACCATCCAACGGTCGGATCTCCGTCAATTGTCAAAACCAAGTGACAGTTAACATTCTATTTTATGAACTTACAACTCCAATTTCGGAAGATCCGGTAATTGGATTCCCAATCCGTAAGTTCCTATAATCCAAAAATATTACGTATTACAACGTAACAAAGTTTGGTGAAGATCCAACGGTCGGATCGTCAATTCACATTTTCACCTAACCACGAATCGTAACGAACTTAGGTTCAATTACTCAATTTACGTCAATCCATTATCAAAACTGAACCTAGAACATTAAACACATGCTAAGAATGATATTGGCGGGCCACTGGCCACGCGCCACCGCACGGGCCGCCGCAGGTGGCGGTCGGCCGTTCCGGCTCGCCGGAAAATCCAACTATCTCCAAAAATTACCAAAATTTACAGAAATGAAGATCTCAATGAGTAAAGTAAACTTTATACCTGAGGCCAAGGCCAATTTGTCCTGGAAATGCTCCAATTCCATCAAACCCGTGAAGAACCCTAGAAATGGGTGTTTTCAATTCGACCTCCAAAACCACTTCGATGCTCGAACTAATGTTTGGGCTTTGTTCCAGGTCATAAGGGAATGCTAATGGTGTTAGTAATTGAAAGAAAACATTTCAAGATTTGAAGAATTTGTACACTAAGCCACCGCACACACCGTACGGTTTCAACCAATTTCAAGGCCAAATTCTTTGATTTTTGGGGTGTAATAGGAAGATGGAAGATCATAGAGGGTTTTCCAAGTGACGGTTTGAAGTAACTCACCGGAAAAGTGAAGAAATTTCGACGGAAATGGGTGGAAAACCCACTGGGTCGCGCGGGTCATGGGTTGAAAACCCATTTCTGTTCTTCTTCCTCCGCTTCTCGCCCTCTCTCCTTTCCTCATTTCCCCTTCTCTGATTGGTCTAGCCCATCTCTTTCCTCTCCCCATTCGGCCTCTTCTTCTTCTTCTCTGATTGGGCAAGTTGCTCGTGAGTTCCCAAAAACAAAACCATGAGGGAATGGTAAGCCCAAAGCGAACAATATCGTGCTACGGTGGTGGAGATGGCCCGGGAAGTGGTCCGCCCCTGGCCGGGATGACAACAGATGGATTGCATGTTTGATATATGTTCTAGCTTGAATGCCACAAGTAGAATATGCATAAGGAAAACCTAACCTTCAAAGTTGCATGTGTAATTTATAAGTAATTGATAAATTTACATAGGATTGTTAAGGGGATGGCAGAACCCAGGCTTTTACAATTTGGTTTTCAAAACGTTTTCCTTTGTTTTCTTTACTTTGCTAATTTCTTTAATTGTTTTAATTTAAAATTCGTTTTTAATCTTCTAGGTCATAAAATCAACTTTTTTCAATCTTTGTTTTAAATAATTAATTAAGATTTGGTATTTACATAAATTATTCAAACAATCCCTGTGGAAAATGACATTGCTTAAGCTGCTATAACCTTGTACTCTTGCAAGCATTTTTATCCCTACTTTTGCAGGTGGTAAAAATCCCTATCAGTCACAAGCATTAATAGGATTCGCAGTAGCCACTGAAATCATATTAAGTGATGATATTGAGCCCCGCTCTGTTGATGAGTGCAAACAGAGACAAGATTGGCCTAAGTGGAAAGATGCAATCCAGGCAGAATTAAATTCCTTGGAAAAACGAAGTGTTTTTGGACCAGTAGTCCAAACCCCGCCTGATGTAAACCCCGTGGGTTACAAATGGGTATTCACAAGGAAACGCAATGAGAAAAACGAGATTGCTAGATACAAAGCACGACTCGTTGCACAAGGCTTTTCACAAAGACTTGGAATTGATTATGAGGACACATACTATCCTGTAATGGATGCAATTACGTTCCGTTACTTAATAAGTTTAGTGGTTTCAGAAAAGCTTGACATGCGACTTATGGATGTCATCACTGCGTATCTATATGGAGAATTAGATACTGACATATACATGAAAGTCCCAGAAGGACCTAAGTTGCCTAAAACAAGTAACAAACCACGAGGTATGCTCTCGATCAAATTAAGGCGATCATTGTATAGGCTGAAACAATCTGGACGAATGTGGTATAATCGTCTCAGTGAGTATTTGATCAAAGAAGGGTATATTAACAATGTAATTTGCCCTTGTGTGTTCATTAAGAAATCCAACTCTGGATTTGCTATAGTGGCAGTATATGTTGATGATATGAACCTAGTTAGAACTCCTGAAGAGCTCCATAAAACTGCTGAATATCTGAAAAGCGAATTTGAAATGAAAGACCTTGGAAAAACCAAAATATTGTCTCGGCCTGCAGATCGAGCAACGTGCTAGTGGAATTTTGGTCCACCAATCAGCTTACATTGAAAAAATCTTGAAGCGATTTGGTATGGACAAGGCTTATCCACTCAACACGCCAATGGTCGTTCGTTCTCTGGACATTAAGAAAGATCCATTCCGTCCAAAAGAAGATGATGAAATGGTCATTGGTCCAGAAGTACCATATCTGAGTGCAGTAGGTGCTTTGTTGTATTTAACACAATGTACTAGACCAGATATAGCTTTTTCAGTCAACTTGTTAGCCACGTATAGCTCAGCTCCAACAATCCGTCATTGGAAGGGTATCAAAGATGTATTGCGATACCTTCGTGGGTCAACAGATATGGGTCTCTTCTACTCAAAGAACTCCACAAATGACCAGGTCCTTGTTGGATATGCAGATGCTGGTTTCCTCTCTGATCCGCATAAAGCCCGCTCACAAACTGGATATGTGTTCAAGAATAGAGATACAACAATCTCATAGCGCTCAACAAAGCAAACATCAGTTGCTACATCTTCAAATCATTCAGAAATAATTGCTTTACATGAAGCAAGTCGTGAATGTTCTTGGTTAAGACTAATGATCCATCATATCCGGAATTCATGTGGTCTAACTTCGAAGACAGATAATCCAACTGTCATTCATGAAGATAATGCAGCCTGTGTTGCCCAAATGAAGGAAGGATTCATCAAGGACATCAAACTAAACACATATCTCCAAAGTTTTTCAGCGCACATGAGCTTCAGAAGGCTAAAGTTATTGAAGTCAGACAAATCCGTTCTAATGAAAATCTGGTAGACTTGTTCACCAAGTCTCTACCAAAGTGCACGTTTCAGAAGTTAGTGCAAAGTATCGGATTACGTCGACTTACAAAACAACTAAGTTTGGAAAATGCGGAATCAGGGGGAGATACATATCAGGGGGAGCATCCATGATACATGCATGTTGTACTCTTTTTCCTTCGATTAGGATTTTTCCCACTGGATTTTTCTTATCAAGGTTTTAACGAGGCAACATAAGCATACTTAACACTATATCAACAATCCAGGTAAAGTTGTACTCTTTTTCCTTCGCTATGGTTTTTTCCCACTGGGTTTTTCCAAGCAAGGTTTTAACGAGGCAACTGATGTTGATATGTGGGCATCCAAGGGGGAGTGTTGAAAAAGATAGTGGGTAATGAATGCCCACATAGAAATTGAAAACATTGGGTAGAGTTTTCAATCCACACAGATACACATTTTCAATACTCATGTAAATAGAAAGTGACTTTGGATGCAGGAGATCATGTTTGTCAAAGGTTGCATGCTGTAAATGTCCATATGCAATTAATACAGTTGTTTGAGTTGCTCTATAAATAGAGCACTCGAATGCAATCAAAGCATACGAAAAAACAGATAGAAAACAAACAGATCAATAATATCATCCATTCCTCCGTCTTTAATTTGCCATCTCCTTATGTTTTAATTATAGTGTGATATTTTATCTCTACTTCGTTCCACTCAATATAAAAGGTTATCTCTCTAACTTTGATATATTTTTAACAAATCTTTATTTTTCTTCATTAGATGACATTTCTTCTGGTGGGATCGAACAAATTTCGATGTGCTGGTTATACTCTCAGACGAATATAACAAAATGAGATTGTTGAACTCAAAACTTAAACTTAGTTCAACAACATTTTTACTGGTTGGCACGAACTTCCGCATTCAAACTCGCCATTTTTACTTCTTGATTGGATCAAACTTAAGTTCCATCTATTTTAAGTTGTTTATTTAGGGTTTTGGTAACCATTTCTTCAACTATGGCAGTAGCGTTTGTCAAAATTATTCTGTCGTCTTACTCTCTGTTCCAAATTTACTTTGGCCCCCTCTCTGTATCACACATTCACAACTAGTATTCATTCCGGAAACAAAATCCAATCCAGGATAATCAACTTCGCTCCGATACTGTAGAATTGTTTGTTTCAACTGATTCAACATGAAATCAATGAGAGAGAGAGAGAGAAGAAAGGCCTCAGAGATCTTGGTGGATAAGATTCATCAGATGGGAAGGATCCCTTCCCATCAAGAGTAGCAAATACCAATCTACATCACCGGCCTTCCCCTACGATTTCTTCCTAATAATTCTAAAACAACAACAGTAAGACTCAAATCAAATCTTTAAAAACAAAAAAAAAAAGAGGAAATGAAGGGGAATGATTGAATGATGTAGTCAGAAGTAGCTGGTTTAATATCATACAGACACGAATGAATGTTATCATTGGGAATCCGTCCGATTTTTTTCATCATTCTACATCCTTCAATCCATCAATACTCCCTCCAAAAACAAACAATTTATTTGCAGAAACAAAAAAATATATAACTTTGAAATTAAAGAAAAATAAAAGCCCGAAAGAGAAATAATAAAGAAACAAGGAAAATCGGAGGAGTAGGAGGCATAAGGCGGGTACAGCCTCCAGCAAGAGCAACCAGTCGTGTCTGTGAATTGGAAGTGAATGTATTTTTGGTGAGCTTTCCTTCTCCTTTTATAGGGTCTGGTACAACCAAAACCCTAGACGACTCCAAAACAAGATAGGGGAGGCGGCGGTCCGCTCTCTATTCATCCCACCTCTCTCTGATTTCTCGCGAAAACCCAATGGACAACTCATCCCAGCCCACAAGTATTAGGCCCTTAAATGCAAGTATTGGGCCTCCAGATGCTGTGCTTGTATAAGCAGATTCTCTTCACTACATCATTTTTTTATGAGTGAACGGTTGAGATTTAGCTAAATCTTATTTTCCGTGCATCGTTATGTTAGTTTTATTCTCTTTTAACTTTCAAGTTCATATTGTTCAAAAAAAAAAAAAAAAAATCAAGTTCATATAACTCCTTTGTTCTTATATACTTTGTGTTGGTATTGGGGGCTTATTGACTTTAATTTCTTCGTTTATGTTTGGGATTTTGAAATTCTGAAGCTTTTGAATTCTGCAATTCTTCCCAATCTTTGAAATTAGATGGAGGGAGACGGGGAACGGGAAGGGAGGTGGTAGTTAGGAAGGGTGGTTTCTATTGAGTTTTGGCTGTTGACGCTGCATCGCCTCGGTGGTCCACCATGGAGTTGCTCTGGATTGTGGTGCAAGCGAAGAAGGGGGTCTCGCGGTCATGGGAACGCAGAAGGGGGTCTCATCGTCATGGGAGCGCAGAACGGTGCTCAGGGTGTCTTGACAAAACGTTTTAACTTTAACTAGTCTACTTTTGACATTATCGTATACATAAGGATTCTTAGCCAAAATAGTTATTGAGAGTGCACTTTGGTCATGATATTAAAAATCGATAGAAGTAATTCATGAGCTTGTTTATTAAATTGAGGATATTTTTATCATTTTTTATTCTTATTTAAGATAATTTTTCAAGGAAGTGCCAAAATGATTGACGGTAAACAAACTCAGGAACTACTTCTATTGATTTCAAATTTCAAATTTCAAAAACTAAAGTGAGAAGTTATGCCAATCTCAGAGACTATTTTGGCTAAAAAAACCTATACGTAATATCTGAACACGAATATTACAGCATTTATCATATACTTAATATGAATAATTCTTACAGTTTCAGGTACATCATTTATAAAACATTGGTTTGCCCGCCTCTCTCTATGGCCTCCGTTCCCCTTCAATGTTTTCCACCACCTACAAACTAATGCATTACTCCTAAACTGACACTCTTCTTCAGCCTACCAACAACTGTCCGAAAACGTGCAAACAAGACAAGTTCATTCATCAAGTGACCACATTCTGTTTATACCCCAGAGCCCGAGTTAGACCACCAGCTTCTTCAATTTGTTTGACAAATGTTCTAAGACAACCATTGATAATACGGGGTGCTGATCCATCACAGAACCGTTTAGCAAGATCTACGGCCTTCACAAAATGCCATATTCAATCAAAACCAAGCAACTATGGCAAAACAAGTATACTTACAAGTTATGAAAGTAAACAACATCATACCTCGTTAATGACAATCGGGTGTCTTGTTTCGAGCACTGTTATTTCTGACATTGCCAAGTGGAGGATGCAAAGCTCCAATATTCTGCCTGCTGGCTCATCCTGAAAATTACGGATGAACATGGTGTAAAACATTTGTACGTAGTAGAAAAAATGGGAAGTAAAATATCAATACCTCTGTAATAATATCCTTTTTCACCCAAATAAAAAACAATGAACCGGATTTGGTGCCTTGTTTAGAAGACAAGCAATTTATGAAACAGATATTTTTTATAATGGTGTAATGCTACCCAAGTACTAAACATGTGCTATGAAAACATACTGAATTAAGAAACGCCCAATCTCCAAAAAGCATGTGTTATATTCCCACCTTATCTGGAACTAGATGTAAGTTCATTTATACCTACGTGAAAATAAGATGCGGCTCTAGGTAACTAAAGCCTTTAATGGACATCTGCCTGGTATCACCCTCCATATTTTTGCCTGACGTTGGAAAGCAGAATAGACAATAAGTAAATCCTAAAGGGGGAATTGAGGTAAACAGCCCATGAGCAAACATCAGACACACCCCACAACCAGTAGCACCATGACCAAAAGCCATCATGTGAAACACTAATGAATAGTATAACTTGGTTGGACAATCACAGTGCATCAACCTCCTTGTTTCTTTTCATTTCAAAGAACAGAACTCCTGCTTCATTTTGGCGGCATACAGATACTAATTGTCCTTTCCAAAAGACGGGGAAACCAACTATTCACCGATGCCTATATTGCGTTTATACTTTGAGCCGATTAAGAACAAGTGTACACATTAATTATGGAAACGACCCCACGTAAGCAGGCCAAAAGAAAGAATAAAGACCCAGAAAAGTAAAAGCGTATAAAACCTGGATAGTCAATGCACAAACAAGTAACGCACAACCTAAGCCCCTCCCCCCCCTCTCTCCCCAGTGTATTACAAGAAGCACGAACCAGTAATACACTTCAGGAGCTACAAAACTCAACAAAGATAATGTGCAAACAAAATGTATTAAGCTTATTGGTGTACCCAACCTTCCAATTTGGAGGGGCAACGTTGTCAATAACGAGCACATGACTGTCCCATTTATCCATGACTGCAACCAAAAGTTTCCTTGTAAATCTGTAACAAAAAGAAAGACAAAATTAGTTGGTCTCTCCACAACTTCCTGTCACCCTCAATAAACAATGTTGGGAAGAAAAACAAAAAAATGATATGCTCCACTTGCTACATCAAATAGTTACAAAGTGAAATTTTGATCAATAGAGTGGATGGTTTACCGCAAAATCAGTTTGCTGTATACCAATTTTGGAGGAGCTGCAAGAACTTCTGCTTCTGAGAAGAGAAAAATTACACAGACTATTACTCCGGAAATAGGAGTTGCATATAAAGTGGAAAACTGAGCAAAATGTAAAAGCACTATCAACTCAATTTTGATGAAGTTATGAATAACTGAGACATATAAATTACAGAAAAGGTCATTATAGCATTGAAGTTGCACAATAATTTTGATTAGAGGGGTAGTTGGAGCTCATGAGACCCAACAACTGGGAGAAAGGCCCCGTTAAGTTATAGAATCAGTCATCACAAGTTCTAGGACAAACTGTGTGAGCCAAACAACTAAAATGATTGCATATAAACCACATTGGTACAGAAAGGACGACGGTGATATTTAACACATCCAAACAACTTTAAAATGGAAAGGCATGTGAAGTGTAAATTGTCACATGTATACCAATTGCAGATTCCTTTTCATCTTTGCGCAGGAGCTCATCTGCTTCCTCAACAGTTTCAACTGTGACAGGGGGTCCTCCGAAGCTCATGGGATTATATTCAAGTAATGATGCCCTGTCAAATTCATACCCGGGTTCTGGGAATAGAAAAGGTGTGATGAGTAATTCAGAACACAAGCATATTGAACGTTTCAATGCTTCATATACAAACATTAAGACTATAACCAGGGGATAGTTACCTCGACGGACATTTATTCGCTTTTCAAATAAACGTATTGGGTCAGAACCCTCTAAACAAGAAGCATAAACAATCGACCTGCGTTTAAATCCAGCCAAAACAAACTTGGTTAAGGCTGGAAATGAAACAATTCCCAAAATTACTACTTTTTGTTTGAAAATCATTCGTTTACCTTCACTATTTCTCCAAGAAACAAACATGGGTTTAGTTTAGTTTGCAGTAACTGAGGAAGATAAATAAGTAATTAAAAAGATAGGATAAGAGAGAGACTTACAGAGCGAGCTCTCTGGCGGCTCTGGGGCTGCAGAATCTGCCACTCTTATCAATCTTGGGCAACGTATCTGCTGAGCCATTGCTGGGCTTTTCGAGAGCTTGGTCGAGAGGGAAGGACGAAGTGCGGAGGGCGGTTCGAGGGGAAGGGAGTGATAGGGTGCTGTGGGCGAGTAAGGGTCTGGGGATTAAACCCAGAAGGTGGGATTTTCCGAAGAGCAAGGAAGAAGAGGAGGAGAAAGAGAAATGAGGTTTTAAATGGGGAGAAGAAGAGGAGCAGCCGAGACTGAGAAGCGAGCTTCCCTCCATTGTTGAGCCTCAGGCTGTGGGAGATTTTAGATAACGTGGCCGCCTCTCCCTGTATTTAGCGTATAAGTATCTCCCCTCGGACCTCAGCCATTTTGCGGGGAGGGGTTTTGGTCTTTTGACTCTTTGAAGTTAAAACTTTTTACCAACAAAAAGGGAAAACATGAGATGAGATATTTTCCTAGCATCCGGTGAGGATCCAGATTCATTTAAAAGATCTTACTCTTTTAGTTTTTGTATTACTCGCAATCCTGCTTAAGTAAAGACACAAATAATGAATCATGAACGGGTGGTTCAATGGTAAATGATGGACTGCAAGGTCTCCTTTATACTAAAAACTGAAGGTTTTGGATTCAAATTCCAATGTGGCAATGGAGAAGCTGAAATGCTTCTGTGAGTTTTCTCAGCCCCTAAAAAAATGGATAATCGTGACTTGCTACAATTATCCCTTTAAAAAAAAAAAAAAAAGACACAAATAATTAAAAACATTATCACATAAATTACTCAACTTTCTCCCTTTCTTTTTGCTGCCGCACACTCTACTTCACAATACAGACACTAATTGGTTTAGAAAAAAAGTAATGAATCTTTATAATGGTTAAATCTTGTATAAAATCAGTACCTATGTACCATTGTAAATTGTAATCCAACGCTGTAATAGGATAAAACTGCATATGTTTTAGGTGAGATTTTGTTGTTTGCTAATGATACTTGATTTAACCAAGTCCAAGGACCATTAGGATTGGTG